CAGAATGAACAAACTATAGGCAAGTTAGGGATGGTGACTCCTGCCTGGATTTCCCAGAACTCAGAGGGATGAAAAGGAGGGTCACAAGTTAGAAGCCATCCAGAGTAACATAAGACTCCTGTCTATTTGTCTGTCTGTCTTTCATCTATGTCTATTTATCTATCTCTTTTTGAAAGGAATATACAGAGAGGGAAGATGGCAGATTCTAGACATTCAGAACATTCCCAAATCTCCATCAATCTGAGAGCACATAGCTACAGAGAGGGGTGGATAGCACGGACCAGCTTAGGTGTACAATAAAAACACTACAGCCTAAATGAAACCCAGACACTTTAGCTCTGTACTAACACCAGACAACATGATAGAGAGGGAAGAGATACCTCCCCAGTGGGCTATCAGCAAACGAGAAAAGGAAAGCTTCGTGGGTGTGCTGCCTTATCTGCTGACACCCACTGGGGAGGTGACCTGTGCAGCAAGGAGGAGCTACAAAGGTTCCCTGAGCTCCCAGCATGCTCACTGACACTGCAATGAGGAACAGCTTAAGAAAGTGTTCCCCAGGACAGGACTGTGTGCACCTTTAGTCCCAGCACTTGAGAGGCAGAGGCAAGCAGATTTCTGAGTTTGAGGACAGCCTGGACTACAGAGTAAGTTCTAGGACAGCCAAGGCTATGCAGAGAAACCCTGTCTCATTTTTTAAAAAAGGAAGGAAGGAAGAAAGGAAGGAGGAAGGAAGGAAAAGAAGGGAAGAAAGTCTTCCTGGAAAACTCTTCAGTCAGAGCCCCAGGATTCCAAAAGCCACTCTCCTCGACCAGCTAAGCTGGTGGTGATCAGCCCAAGAATCAGGAAATGGGATGTGACTTAGACACTGAGTTGTCAACCCTGTCTACATGGGGAAGTGTGGGCCAAGCTGGGAGGACATGGGGTATACTTAGATGTGGGAACTGAGGCCCCCGCTCTGGGAAGAGGATCAAGGCTACCTGAGCAGGAACGGAGCAAGGGTTGAGCCTGCGAACAGCATGGCAGGGCATAGGAGCCTGTACCCTGCTTTATCTGAAGAAACTGGTTCAACTTGACTGCTCCCAATTCCCAGAGCCCCAGAGATTCCTGGTGGCAACACCCTGCTCGGGCCTTTCTCATGCCATGTTCACAATGGCAGAGCACCGATGTCAGGCAAAACCCAAGTAATTGGTCTTCCATGTTGGCTAATGACAAGAGTCTGAGGCAGCTCCTTCACTCACCTCATAGCTCTTGGAATAAATATGGAAGGAAATCAGCCCCGCTGTCTTCCTAGTGCATGCCTCAGCAAGTGAAACAGGGTGGAGTCCAGCTTGCAACAGCGTGCTGGGACTGACTTGAATGCTCCCTGCACTAAGTAAGTGTCATAGAGACATGGAAGTGAGGGCATAGCACCCACATCCTTCTCCTAAGCCAAAGAATAGTATTGAGTTTTCTTGCTCTGTGTTGGCTTTATTGTCTTTTCCCTTCACGGTTACACTCTCAGTTTGGTTTTTGAATTGTCTTTATGGAGATCTACATTCACCCCCTCTGAGGGGTAGTGAGGATGAGACCTAAAACTGAAGGTAACACGCATGTCAAACGAGGACCAATTGCAACGTGGAAAGAGAATAGATACAAAAGTCAGTCTGACTCTTAAAAGGGCTCATAACCCCTCAGCGGTTGAATCAAGCTACATTAAAATGGCAAATACTTCAAATTCTACTTCCAGGAAAGGACCGATGGTCTCAACATCGATGCAGAAAAACACATGAATGGAGCAAGGAAGACAGATCAAAGGGATGCTGAACTGGAAGAGTGATTCAGCATGAACAAAAACCCTTGTTGGAAAGAGTCACCAAGGAGCAAAATCACGTATGCAAGGGGACTTTGGTGACTGTAGGAGGAGTGATCTCACTCAGAAAGCATAAAAAGCAAGCAAGCAGGATCAGAACTTTTAAGAATTCCCACTCACAAACAGGAGAGAGACCTCAGGCAAGAAACCGTGGGGTAGAAGACTCAGCTGAAGTACAAACTAATGACACAAAAACCTATTCAGTAGAATTAGAGCAGATATCTTTCTCGATTCTAGGGAAAGACATGGGCATCCACATAGAGGAGGAATTTAAACGCCCAAATTGGCATGAACTCCTTCATGTCATATTATAATTTAAGAGCTAAAATCTAAAGATTTAAATTTAAAATTTAAAATTTAAGAGTTGGGGCCAGAGAGATGGGTGGCTCTGTGGTTACCAGTGCATTCTGGTCTTGCAGAAGACCCAAGTCTGATTACCAGCACCTATGTTAGGCTGCTCATAATCTTCTGTAACATCAGAGCCAACACCTTTTGGCTTCCTTGGGTTCTATACGCACATCCACAAAACCATATACAGACATACACATATACATATAATTAATTTTTAATGTAAATTTAAAAATTTAAGATTATGGAACAGGAAAATAATATTTGAAGGCTATAAGAGACGCAAGTACTTTAAGTGACAATCTCATCAGAATTATATTGGATCTCTCAGGAAACACTGACAAGCCAGAAAAGCATGGAATAATACAGTTCATGCCCTGAGAGTAAACGCCAACCAAGACACAATATCATATTACCCAGTGACACTTTCTTTAAAATCAGTAGAAAGATGGAGACCTTTAAAGATAAGCACAAACTAAAGTAGCCTGTGACTACTAAGTGAGGGTTAGAGAAGGTGCTTAGAAGAGTTCTCCACACAGAGGAGGAAGAAAGTCAATATTATGAATGTTCAATAGAACAAACAAACCAAACGCAAGAGATGGAGCAAGGTGACGGTGCCATGCGCTGCTCAGGCAGGGGTTTCCCAGGTGCACGCCCACGCTGGCCGAGTGTCTCTGGTATAAGGGGAACCTACACCTTGGGATCAGCTGATGGGAAGAACCCGAAGCTAGACTTCACTTCTGATCTTGTGCACAGTGACTCAGGACTCAAGACAAAATGACCGTGATCTAATATCTGAAATTTTGAAATGAATGGAAATCTTATAGAAAACATTTCAAGACCTAGGCTCAGGCAATGTAACTTTCTTTTTTTTTAAATGACTTTTTTGGTGGTTAATTATTTATTTGTTTCATATATGTGAGTAAGCTGTAGCTGTCTTCAGACACACCAGAAGAGGGCATCGGATCCCTGTTACAGATGGTTGTGAGCTACCATGTGGTTGCTTGGAATTGAACTCAAGACCACTGGAAGAGCACTCAGTGCTCTTAATCTCTGAGCCATCTCTCCAGCCTTCTTTTTTTTTTTAATATAGTCTCTCTCTCTCTCTCTCTCTCTCTCTCTCTCTCTCTCTCTCTCTCTCTCTCTCTCTCTCTCTCTCTCTCTCCATGGTCTCTGGCCTCTCTACTATGTAGCCCTGCCTGTCCTGAAACTCAGAGATCTGCCTGCCTCTGGCTCCCAAGTGCTGGGATTAAAAGCGTGCACCACCACTGCCCAGCATCAAAATATAACTTAATGCAACTCTTCATGCAACAGGAAGTTTGAAATTTTTCATTATATTACAATGAAGTGCTTCTGAACTTCGAAGGAAACAAAAATGAAGAGGCGACCTACAGAATGGAGAAAATCTTTGCCAGCAGCTCATCAGAGAGAAAAAATTGATACAGAAAATGCAGAACTGTCTAACAACAAACAATATCCAAAGGCCAGATAATACAACCAAAGCAAATGAAGTGGGCAGACACTTTGTGAGAGTGTAGACAGCTAATAAAAATGTCCAGAGGTTTTAGCTGCCAAGCAAATAAAAAGCAAAATTCATGAAGATTCCACGTCATCCCAATCAGAATGGTTATTATGTAAAGTACAAATATAATCAATGCTGATAAAGATACAGGGGAGAGTTTGACTATTCATACAGTGTTGGTGGGATTATAAATTAATCCAGTTAATGTGGAATTCAATCTGGAAGCCCCTCAAGAAGTTAAAAGTAAAACTACTATATTATCCAACTGTTCCATTTCTGGGTGAATTCCTCAAAGAATCAAAGTCAGTTCTCTACAAAAGTACACACACAGTTATGCTTACTGAAGCAACAGTAGCCGAGTTAGAGAATCAGCTCAGACGCCTATTGGCAGCCAGATTTTTTTAAGTGGTATATAATACAGTGCAGGATATTGTTCTTCCATAAAGCAAATGAAAATTTATCATTAGAAAATATTTTTGTGTATGTGTGAGCGCATGTGCGGGTAGAGACCAGAGGTCAGAGGACAACTTGACATGTAGGACTCAGTTCTCTCCTTCTACCATGTGAGTCTTGGGGTTGAACTTGGGTCATCAGACTTGGCTGCAAGTGCCCTGACCTGCCAAGCCATCTCTCTGACCTGAATGTTATCATTATAGGAAAAATGGATACACCTGGAGACCTTTATGTTAAGTGAAACAAGTATCCTATGTTTCCTTTAATGTGTAGGATTTAGGAGGGGAAATCCCCACAAAGTTAAGGGAACTATTATGGGGTGTGAGAAGGGAAAGGGGTAAAGTACTAAGAAAGGTTGAGAAAAGGGACAGGGTATGACAAAGAATGGTGTTTGCATGGGAGGAAACCCTGCAACAGAACCCCTTTGTAATTAAATTCAGAGTAATTTAGAAAAGAAAGCGAAGTTATTGTTTAGAAAAGAAACCATTGGAGAGAAAATATAACTGGAAAGTCACTGAAGAGATGGATTTGTCTCATGTCTGATGACGCTGTGAGATAAAGCCCACTGACGGGAATGCAGAGAAGCCAAGTCAGTGGTTGGGAAGGAAGCAGAAGCATGTGGAGAGTAGCTGGAGACGCTGACTCAGCAATCGGTGGTGCACTATCCTGTGACGTCAACACTGACAGGAGAGGAAAAAGCGATGACTGAAAACATTTCCAATTTAATAAGAGTTAGAAATCCACAAACCCAGGAAACATAATGAACTCGTTTCTCTCTGCAGCCGTTAACTGAGCCTCTTTATTTACTTAGGACAAAAGTCAACATACCTTCCAATAAGCCATTAATCTTTTGGCCCCATTTGGCGAAATGAATGGAGCCGCCTCCCGCCCAGGGAAAGCAAATCAGCTTGAAAACTGCATCAGGCTTTTGATACAAACAGTTCAAAACCTTTTCATTCCTAGAAAGAAAATGCAAATACATCTAGCATTACATAATGTTGTCAGATAAGAGTTCAAAATTGAATTAGATGAGTTTTAATGATAAGTCCCGTCAACTACTAGGTGCCTGTGCTCAAATAGGAAGTAATTGCCTTTCTTTTTCCAAGAATCGAGTTCCCAAAGGTTTGGATGGTTTATTTTATGATTTCAACCCATAAGCTCTTAAAGACCTAGATGAAGGAACGGTGAAGTGTCTAAGTACTTTGTATGTCCAATAAAGTGATGTAACTATTGAGGTAGACACCTGTTCTTCCACAGCAGAAGAAATAGATTGTCCAACAAGTTCGTAGGCTTCCTTCTCCGTGTCTTCATTACCATCCAGAGACACTTCTAAAGTCCTCTACACATTTTTCACAACATAAAATTTTTACTCTCTAAGTGTTCCATAAACAATACCTTTGAATCTGTGCATAATGTCCCTAGAAATTTTATTCCAAGATCCAGCATCAAATCAACTGATCTTAGAAAAAAAATACTACTTTAAACAGCTGTCCTGTATGGATATATTTGCATTCTCTACAATTTAAATGTCTCTTGGGAACTTTCCAAATTGATCTTTAGATTTCTTACAAAGATATCTAAGCCTTCCAAATGAGAAACCACTGCCAAACAATAATGATTTTAAGTCTGCTTTGTCTTTTTTAAAAAGAGATTCAGTTTTATAGTTTGGATCATATTGGAAGTAAGGAACCTTTAAGAAGTGGGACCTGGGGGAAGGAGGAGAGGTGGACTAGGGGGTATATGATTGAAGGAGATCTTGAAGCTTTGGTCTGCTCTCTCTTTCTCAGCCGTCTTCCTCTTGCTCTCTTTTCCTCTTATGGAGTCTTTAACTAAGTCGGCCACACATTCCCTGGAACGCACACTTTTCTACAGGGCCAACGCAGCAGGGTTCAAGGACTATGGATGGAAAAGCCACGATTCTGATAAAAACTGAGTGTTTTTCTTGCATGTATGAACACCACTTGCATCCAGTCTCCACAAAGGCTAAAACAGGACATCAGAAGCACTAAAGCTGGAGTTACATTTGGTGAGCGCCATGTTAGTGCTGGGCACTAAGCCTGTCCTCTATGCAAGAGCAGCAAGGGTCCTTAACTGCTGAGCCATCCCTTCATGCCTCCAATCAAATATTTTCTCCTTTATGTTTTGTCGTTTGATTTTGATTAAAAGGGAAAAAATAACAGATTGAAGTCTTTCTAGATGCTCTGTTCTCATAAAGGGACTTTGTGCTTTATAATAAAATAACTGAGAGCATGCATGAAGTGAGACTTAATACACGGTAACAGGTGAAAACTTTTGTATAAAGACATTTTAAAAGAAACTCTATTAGAGGGGTGTGTGTGTGCCCCTGCATGCGTGTATGTGTGTGTGTGTTGAGAACTGTCAGATATTGAACCTTGGACCTTAGACATGCTAGGCAAATTCTCCACTATTGTGCTATATTCCCCAGCAAAGAAACATCTCTTGACTTAAACCTGAGCTCTTAGGTAACTGTTAGATAAATAACAAAAAACACAGTTTTCATGTCCATTTGAGAAAAAGAACACTCATACTTGGAGCTGTTTTCACACTCACAAACCCAGTCTGTAGCAAATGTGCTGACTAACTTGGCCCTGAACAAGAGTTTCATGGACACACAGCAACTTGAAACATCCCCAAAGCTGTTTGTTTTGATCTGGGCATGAGAATCCTCCATTTAGCCTGCCCTCAACTCCGTTAAAAGCTACAGAACATAGAACGGCTTTCCTGGTTCTCATTGTTTGGAGTTATAGACCATTCTAGAAGAATTAGCTAAATCTAACAGTTCTTTAAAAGTACTATCTATTTATTTATTTTGATTTTTGAAGTAGGGTCTCTCTATGAAGACCTGGCTGTCCTGGAACTCACTATGTAGACCAGTCTAGTGCTGGGATTAAAGACATGCTCCTCTACACCTAGCTTAAAAAGATTTTACTTTTTTTTAAAATCAAGGTTCCATGTATCAGTTTAACTATATATGCTCTAATAGACAAAAAGACAATGTGTTAGGACGAGAGTAGCTATGAGCTTGCAGTGCCTAAGACAGAGGTCATTTGGGAGCATGCTAGGGGGAGGGTCTTTGAAATGAGTACAAGTTTACTAATACAAAATTAAGAGCCAAACTTTGGACTCTGGTTCTTCAAAGTAAACCATGATTTCTCACTGATCAGTGAGGGCGGGGCCTATCATTGATTGGTTTAAATATGTGTCAGTCTCCAGAATCTACCATGATGAAACACTGACACCAACAGTGAATCCATGGGCAAGCTCTTGTGAGAAGGCAGAGCTGAAGGCAGGTCCTCATGTTGCTGAGTCTAGACCACTCCCTCCCTGGCATTCCATCTGTGCCCTGCACGTACACCCTTGTCTTTACACTCTAAAGAGGGAATGAAAGACCCACAACTAAACACACTTTCTCTTTCTCTTCCCTCAATGTTTCTTTTTCATTTAAATTATCTATAACTTTGGAGTTGAGGGTGACCAGACAAATTATTTAATCCATTTCTACAGTGTAGTGATGGAGGCTGCAGAGGAAAAATAAAGTCTCCAATTTAAATCCTAGCTACACCTCTTCCCATGGGACACTAGGCAAACTGCTCAAGTGCTTCACAGTCTCAGTGGCCTCGATGTAAACAGAGGGCGATGCTTGGTGGGCCTTCCTCATGAGCAAAAGCACTAAACACCCTAGCCACGGTTTTAGGCACTCCTTATCTGCCACAACTCTTGACAGTTGACAAAAGTGAGACCCAGAGACATCGTCACCAAACCAGTTAGTCATAAATCAGAATTGGGGTGCAGATCCTGCTCGTTATTAGACCATTTGTCCATTGACCCTTTTTCCATCGTCTCAGCATCAGTGTCACTAAGAGGCAGGAAGTGGAGGACATCCTGGGATGCTTTGGATTAGAGCTGGGGCAAGATTGAGTTCTCCAAGATAGTGCGCTCTTCCAAACCACGTAAGTATTTTTCGACAAGCAAGAGTAATAAAATTTAACTTTAAAATGCCACCACGGGGGCGACAAGCTGGCTCAGTGCCTAAGGGACATGATGTCAAGGCTAATGGCATGGAGCACATGGTGACCACTGCTGCTTGACCAAGTTCCAGCATACAACATTGTGGATTACAATTCTCCAGCACCTTTTACCTTCATCCTTGATGGTTCTCATTATGTTATGAGAGGTTCCTTGTGTGGTTTCTCCAACTCCTTGGGAAATTCTGTATGAGCTTTGATGGCGGATGTGTATGTATACAATGACACACCCTCGAAACAAAATAATTCTTTGGAAAAAATCTCCTCCACAGTGGAACCATATAGTGTAATAACTCTGCCTACTTCTACACAAGAACCCCCAGTTTGTACCCCTGATTGTACCAAGAATAAAGAAGTTAAAAAGTTATGATTCCAGGAACTCTTAGGTACTCCACACCTGGTCCCAGGGATGAAAGCACACAACTGGGAGAAATAATGGGCCCGAACCCAGAGTCTGAGACCTTGGCAGTGTCCATGATTGATTCCCTGGTACATGACTTACAGGAGGAACAGCAAGATCTGGTACACTCCACAAGGAGCAGATTCTGTTAAGAAGTTAATCATATACAGGATCGTATACTGAAGGAATTAGAATGATCTGGTACTCGGGAAAAAGAGTAAAATATTAGGACCTTCCCTTTGGAGAGCATATGAGAACAGGTCCATGGTGCAAGACTAAGGCATATAGGAATGAATTTAGGAAACGGCTCAATGCTTCTTATGCTACATGGTACAAACACTGAGTCATGTCCCTTAAGGAATGAAAATTGTTCTTATGGTTTGTTTTTTTAGCAATATCTGGCACTTCTTGACCACAAAGGGTCATCACAAAGGCTGAGACTGTTCAGGAGGGGCACCTGGTGGGGTTGCTAAAGGTTAGAGAACAAAGACTTAGATGTTTGCTGAACTTAGTGCCTTCGTCTCGAAGAAAAATACTGTAATAAAGTTGATTACCTCTTTCATTCTGGATATTGACAAATAGGAGCAAAATAGATTGAAAATGGCCTTTGTAAAGATCATACACATCTTGGAATCATTGAGTCCACTTTCAATTTACCTGTGGCTAGGAATATTATACACATATAGAGTATAAAAGGTGTAACCTTTTTAAATAAACATCCTGATTCGCCTCAGATCCTTCCTTCACCAGGCCCATCCCTCCTCTTTAGGACGTGAACCCCACTGGAGCTGGACACTGGTATCTAACAGCTTGCATTTTATCCCCAAGACTCATGTGATTCAAGGAGAAAACCAACTTTTACAGGTTATCCTGTGTCTCCACCTGTTCCACTGTTCACAGTGGCACATACAATAGTCAATCAATTAGTTGCTTGAATGCAATTTTTAGAACTCCAAGCTAGTAGCATTTTATATACAAGTAATTGGTACCCACCTTTCGCCAAAGACAGTGGACAGAAAATTTGATTTCAGTGATGAGCCCCTTGTTAAATGTAACAAGGCAGTTCAATAAATTCAGGGTGCTGAAGCACCGGAGATGCGGAGCGAGGGGTGCCTGGAAGCAGCCTACCTGGTACTCTTAGCATAGACTGCTGTCTCCATCCTGTGAGTTGATCAGGGATTACTGCTCTCAGAGATCTTCTGTGACTGTGTTAAATTCAATTCCCCTCTGGGCACAAAAATCTCCAATAAGCCTTCTGTGCACCTAGTGACCAGATTTCTTTTTAATCCGTTGACTACGGTTGTCACTCAGAATCCTGCTTTTAAAAGGCAGTGAAGAAGAGGAGAAGAGCAAGAAAAAGGAAAAGGAAGAAGAGGAGGAAATGGATAGGGGAAGAGGAAGAAAGGGAAAACAGGTTAGACTTGATAAAGCGTATGGCAGCCGGATACTATCAGCCTCATTTTATAGATGACTGTCGCTGTGCACGTTAGCAGGACTTCCAGATAATGCCCATAAGGACAGAAATGCAGCCTTTCTACTACCTACTCCTCAACTGAGTAGTGCCCAGGTCAAGAGACAGGAAACGCCTGACACCTACTGAGAAGTTAGAGCAGAGATAGTGTGTTTTGGAAACAGATATTTTAGCTTTCTGGGTATTTATAAAGTTTTGCTTTTTTTAAATAATAAGGGAGAGTTAGGAAGTTTTCAAAAAGGAGCAGGGAAGAATTTATTCCTAGAACAGGTGATTAGAAACTACTTTTGCTTAAAAAAAGAAAGAAAGAAACAAAAACAAACACAGAAAACCACCACCAACAACAAAACAAAAAACAAAAATACACAAAAAATCTTCCAGCTGTCTGGAAGAAAAAGAACAGAGACAATGATAAACAGACAGCTCTCTGACCAGAACTCCTCAAGTCTCTTCCCTGCCTCAATTCTTTCTTGATTAAACCCAAAACTCTATCAGCACCCCGAAGGTTGAGATGGGGTCACTGGGCCTCTTTTAGTCCACAGGAATAGAATCTCCCTCCTCTTCCTTACACAATCATCCGCCTCGTTAATTGGCACAATCATACAGCCTAACCTGTCTGGGCAGCTGAAACCTGGGGTTTTACCTTTAAGACTCCAGTAACACTAGCGCTATCAAGCTTCTAATCCTGTAAGCTTCTAACATTCCATAAAGAAAATAAAAATTACTATAGTTTATAAATGTATAAATGTTGCAAATCTTAGAAGGATTTTAAACCCACTTACCACCTAGAAGTCCCCTGAGTCCCTGGCAGTTATGTTAAGACCAAGGTTTGGTTCATAACCTCGATGGTGAGTCTCAGGAGTGTTCTGGAGAGCCAAGGCTCAACTTTCAGCTACACTCTTTCCAGAGGAGAGACTACACCACACTGAGGGGGACAGAAAGCCTGCTCAAATAGGAGAGGGTGGAGAATCGGCCTTTTATCTGTACAAACAGTGGCTCGGAGCCATCACGTGCTCTCAGATGATTCCCACTGATAATTTACTAGGCGGTCCCTGACTCTGTGAGAAAGCTTTTGCTTCTTAGATAATAAACAATACAAAATGCAGCCGAGTGTGGTGGTACCCACCTGCAATCCCAGCACACAGGAAGCTAAAGCAGGATGGTTGGAAGTCTGACGTTAGCCAGAGCTAGAGAGAGAGACTATCTCAAAATTAAAGCTAAAGCGCAAACAAAATAATGACATGAAATGCAAAATAATGTCTACTTCTTCCAAGGACGATGGGCAAGCAGAGGTGGGATATAGACATATTATAACAACAGAAGATTGTTGATTGCAAAGCCTTATTAAAATTAGGTTGCATTTCTCAGTCTCTTTTTAAACATTTTTTTTAACTTGTCAGAGCCTGTGGTCAGTTATGTCTGGGGAGATCAAGCATTACTCAGGGCTCAAATGTATTATTCAACTAATATTTTCTTAAAGTCAAGGGTGTCTGCGTCACTTCTCAAAAACATCAGGATCCAGAGGAAAAGTAACAAGGATTCTCCTGAAGGGAGACCACAGGGAGCAGTTTGCTTACTGGTGCAGCAGAGGAGTAAAGGCAAAGGAGTTATATTCAGGAAGCAAGGGCTCAGATTTTTATCAGAACTGATACATGACACCAGGCTAAAAGTAAACCATGTCCAGCAGAATTCTGAGAATAGAGGATAAAGAAGCTTGCATACGGCTGCACGGCTGCACAGCAATGAAACTGAAGAAAAACAAAAGTAAAACAAAATTATGACTGATAAAGTGAGCCAGTAGACGGAATTGAAGACACAGGACATAGACGAAGGCTAGACTGCTGGCAACACAGACGAGCCACAGACATAAATATAGTAGAACTTACTTTCTAGCAAAGGAAAGAACCACACAGGGGTGTGTGTGTGTTTGTGTGTGTGTGTGTGTCTTGTAAATCTAGGGCCTTGCAAATATTCAGTGTGTACTTTAGCACTCAGCTGCAAAAGCATCTCAGACCCAGCAACAATGCCTTGCAAAAACCCAAGCATCTGGAAGGACTCCCATGCTCGTGCTCCTGTGGACACCCCACAGTCATGCACATATGGAAACAGTAACAATAACCATTATTGGCTTACAGTAAAAAGGCAGGAGAAGAGCATGCTGGGATATGGAGAGAGTTGGAGAAGACAAAGGCAGATGTGTTCATATTTTCAATGTATATCTATACGAAATTTTCAATAATAAAGAAAAATTAAAATAAGTACATAGAAGAATAAGCCATTATGTATATAGAATAAGACGAGTTAAAATCTGATTTACAACACTGTTTTATTACATTTGCAGTCAATTTCCAGTATTTTACAATTTCTTCTAAATTCCTAGGAAAAGTGTAGATCAACAAAAGGATAAACAAGCAAACAAGCAAATAGAACAAAAAATAACCGTGTGCAAACATTTTCACAGTGGCGAAAACACAGACTGTCCCCAAGTTCTAAGTAGAAGACTTTGGCCAGAAGACAAAGTAATTCACAGGAAAGGTATAGGATCTCTGATGTGATAAAAGGAATGAACAGTGGGAAACAATTGAGCAGATAGAGACATTGATACGATAAAATATAATTATAATGTGTACTGGATCTCATATGCACTTAAAGTACCAGATCAAACAAGATCTACATTGTAAAATATTTAGACTCTGGTAAGTTTGTAAGTTCTAATTTCTAAGCAAGCCCTACAAAAACAACAAGAGACAACAGGTCACCGAGAGTTGAAGGAGAAAATGTTTAGTCAGTTAAAAGGGAAGGAAGAGGAAACATAGAGTGGATAAAAGACAGAGAAACCCAAGCCAAAACTCCAGGCTTAAACCTGAGTTCTGTCTCTAGAACCCATCAAAGGTAAGAGAGGGATGGTTCCACAAAGCTATCCTCTGACATTTACACGGCCATCATGGCACACAAGCACCTGTATGTGTTTTCACATGCGTGTGTATACGTGCATGTGTGTACACATGCAATAATAATAATAGCAATAAATGTAATAATAACAACATTAACAATAATGATAAATTAAAAGAAGCTAATATCAATGAGACACCTTCCTAGGTCATTTAAAATTGTTATTACTGACTGGAGAGATAGCTCAGTGATGAAGAGCACCAACTACTCTTCCTAGAGGTCCTGGGTTCAACTCCCAGCACCCACATGGTGGCTCACAACCATCTCTAATAGGATCCGATACCCTTTTCTGGTGTGTCTAAAGACAGCTACAGTGTACTCATATACATAAATAAATCTTTTAAAAATTGTTAATTACATGTATTTATTTGTGCATGCGTGTTTTTTTTTTTTGGAGGGGGGGAGTTGTTCTAGTGCCACAGTGTTTGTAGGCTTCACCCTGGTTTGGTCTCTGTTGCTAATATGGCCTACTCAAGCTGCCACCTCTTTGTCTGTCTGGACACAGTCCTGAGAGCACCTCCATAGTCCTGTGGCCCAGCACCCTGCGTCTGTGGACTCGGAAGTCCTACACCTTGCCTTCCCCGCTCATTTCCGACTTGCAACCTCCTGGCTTGGCTCTCTAATAACATCCTAGCAGCTTTCTAGCTGGGTTTGCTAACATTCTTCCTAGTGTCAGCGCTCTCCCTCTGCCTCCAGTAAAGCCTTCCTGGTTTCTGCTGTGGCCTTCCTAATCCATTTGTAGCCATTCTGTGATCTACTTGCATACACATATTACTGTATGTTGTGGATTGTGTACCCCAAGAGTTGAAATTTCATGTATTTTTGTCTCTATCTCCAGATGTTGCATTATAAGTAAGTACTTTGTGAATTTCTTTTTTAAAATAAATATTTTTATTATTTCTTTGATGATTTTATACAATACATTTGTATCATTTTTACCCCTGATTTTTCCCCTTAACTCCCTTCAGGTACACTACCATATCTCTACCCACCCAACTTCTTGTCTTCTTCTTTTTAAATTTAACAACCCATCAACTCCAATTTGTGCTGTCTATATGTTTCTGTGTGGGGTTATATCCTGGAGTATGGTTAACTTACCAGGAGCTGTAATTTTAACAAAAACTTCCTCACACAGCTCCCAGAAGTCATTAACAGTCCATAGCACCTCAGTTAGAACTGGGTTCCTGAACTCCTTCCCATTCCACACTTGAATGTTGCCTGGCTTGATCTTGTGCAGGTCTTACACTGGCAACCAGAGTTGCTGTGAAATTGTGAATGTGACAGTTCCACCCTGACCAGAAGAGCAACAGCGTCAGCATGTATTGTTTTGCAGCTAATTAAAAAAAAAGCATAGCTTTTAATTTATTGTTAATCAATTCTGACATTTTGGAAAGACACAAAAATGTCCATCTCCAGTTCTAACATAGAGTACTCAGGATGGTTGAGAAGTTACACGTCTTGCCTTGATGATTTCGTGTATAACGCGCTGTGAAAATAGGCAGGGAAAAACTGTCACTTATTCAAGTAGTTATGACTCAAAATAGCTACAGACATGTCAAGCTGAATTTGGTAATAACTTTGTAAGCAAGTAGTGTTGACATTGCTGATGTGGAGATACAGGATAAACTTCTGGAATGTTTCCAAGTTCTTGAATTCTGGAATAAGAAATTGAGTAGAGATATATGCTTACAACAGAAGCAAGGACAGTTCAGTAGGAAAACTTGCACTTCCCAGTCAGGAACCAGGCAGAGGCACCAAGTTTAGATGTCTCTGATGTAAAAAAATTAGGGCTTCAAGAAACAAAAGAATTAGGGCTTTTAAGTTACCTCACAGTAAGCTTTTGACTTATTTGCATAGTATACATACTTGCCTCTTTTGCATAGAATTTCTTGTTCTCTGTAAGGTCTGTTACAAGTAGTAGTTCTACATTGAATTTCATGAATCACATGACTCATTAGCATCTTAAATCTACACTGTGGTCTGCACACTTGGCCTTGGGTGAGTGGATATCTATATTTCTCCTTCCTCTTTGCTAACTTGATTTTTTTTCCCACACACACTATTTTTGTAAGGATTTACACAAAGCTTTCCAGATCTCACTTTCTGTCCCGTTCTCCTCACTTAGCATTAAGGGGTTTAGACTTGATCTTAAGAATGACAATTCAAGATGTCAGATTAGTGTCACAACCAACTGCTGCTGTCCTGTAAGATGGATGGGCGTGGGCAGGCATTGAGGTTTTGTTATGTAGAAGATAGATGTCAGATTAGCTACAACATCAGCCACAAAACCATGACCAGTCTCCAAAAGGAGTAAACAATTTCCAGTTCAAATTTATGCTAAGTAACCATGTGGGGAGGGAGTATATATCAAGCTCATTCATCAGGAGGCAGGAAGACATGCTGTAAACAAGACCAGGCAGAATAGATGAAAGAGTTGAACACAGGTCCCTGTGGGACACTGTTTCCTTGGGCAGGCTGCTTGTGTCTAAGTGAACAATCAGTCTACCCTGGATTTAATATATATTAGCTTACTGCATCTTTTTTCCTTCCTTTCTTTTTTTTTCTACTTTTCTTTTCCTTTTTTCCCTTTGCATCTTGTTGAACTCATCGTGACGAACATGCAAACATCAAGGTATTCCATGGCACCCTGGTGCCATGACTCAAATCACTTAAAGGCAATTCTGTCTTTGGTGAGTAAAGATCTGTGTACAGATCTGCTTGAAATAAGGCTCACTTTCTCTCCTTTTCCTCCTCTCCCCTTTCTCTTTCTACTTCAGGAATCTTTCTCTTCACTCTTCTTGCCTCTCCTCGTTGAAACCCTTTAGTGTCCACTGAGTGCCACAGGTAAGACATACTTGGTTCCAAAGTTCAACAGGGGTGATGAGCCTGCTCCTGCTGTTCCTGAATCATTAGCTGATGTTTTCTGCCTTTTCTCTCCCTGTTGTGGCTGAGAATGGCTG